TGTTGGATACTTTGAACCGGAGTTTGAAGGCTAAGGGTATATGGGAATCGTCGGGTGCTATCAGCAACACCCCTATCCCATAACCGTACTGGTTAGACGTTCCGTCAAAGTACATTGTCTTGGTTCTTCCTCAACTTGCAGAATGTCCTCATCTGGGAATAGGTATTCTACCTCTTCATCCCCTTCCACTGGGTGATTTGCTAGGAACTCTGCTACTGCTCTCCCCTTGACAGACTTGCGAATCACATATTTTAAATCAAATTCGGAGAAAAGAAGCAACCAACGGGCTAGCCTACCCATAAGTGCTGGTTTCTCGAAGAGATATTTAATGAGATCTAATCTCAAAACCAGAATTACAGAGTGAGCTAACAAGTAGTGCCTCAACTTCCTAGTAGCCCATACCAAGGCTAAGCAAGCCTTCTCCAAAGGGGTGCAGCGGCTCTCGTAGTCCAGCATTTTCTTACTCAAATAGTAGATGGCTTTCTCCACCCCATCCTCAGATTCCTAAGCAAGCTTGCATCCCATCGTTGTATCTTTGACTGACAGATATAGAATCAAGGGCTTCCCTAGCTCTGGCGGTGACAGCACTGGTGGATTCTGGAGATACTACTTGATCTGCTTGAAAGTAAATTGACATCGGTCATCCCATCGGAATTTCATTCCTTTCTTCAAGAGACCAAATAGTGGTTCACAAATCAAGGTTAATAATTTTGTAATAAACCATCTTATGAATTGCACTTTACCTAAAAAGCCTCGCACCTCCTTTTTAGTCCTTGGTGGTGGCATTTCTAGTATGGCCTTGATTTTAGAAGGATCTACCTCGATGCCCCTCTGTGTGATCAAGAATCCCAGCATTTTCCATGCTGTTATGCCAAAAGTACACTTCTGTGGATTCAACCTCAATCTATACTCTCTGATCCGTTGAAAGAATTTCTCTAAGGCGGTGTAGTGCCCCTCTCTTTCCTTGGACTTGACAATCATGTCGTCCACATACACCTCAACCTCTTTATGGATCATGTCATGCAGGATTGTGGTTGCAGCCCTTTGATAGGTAGCCCCAGCATTCTTTAGCCCAAACGGCATCACCCTGTAGCAGTAGGTTTCCCATGGCGTGGTGAAAGCAGTCTTCTCTCTATCTTCGGGTGCCATCAGAATCTGGTTATACCGGGAAAATCCATCCATGAAGGAGAGCAGCGCATGGCCTGCGGTGAAGTCCACCAATTCATCGATGTGTGGTAGAGGAAAGTCGTCCTTCAGACTGGCTCTGTTCAGATCTCTGAAATCCACACACACCCGAAATCCTGTCATCTTTCTTTGGCACCGGAACAATGTTGGCCAACCAAGTTGGATACTCAGATACTAGCAAGAACCCTACCTCTATCTGCTTGGTGACCTCCTCTTTGATCTTCAAAGCCCATTCCGGGTATATTCTCCACAACTTCTGTTTGATAGGTTGGGCCTCGGGGTTGATAGAGATCTGATGCTATATAATCTCAGGATCGATTCCAGGCATGTCTTCGTAGGACCACGCGAAAACATCTTTGAAATCTATATAATAAGGGAGAAGAGTTTTTGAATTTGTGTGAAAATGTATCAGAGATAAATTTCAATTTAACGGCTGAGATGATTCTTAAGCTTATATCGATGGTTCAGATTGGTTCAAATGAATGATGATTGATTCATTCACGCATGCACGTCTGACCCACGCACGTCTGACCACATCCTCCCCACCTTCCCTCTCTCTATCTCTCTCTCTTTCACTCTCTGTTCTTCTTCGACAGAAGCAAAAAACCCCACCCTCTTCGCTACCGACGCTCCTCCTTCGTCACACTCCTCTTCATTAACCGTTTGATTTCAATTCTCTTCATCGACCCCCACCCTCTTCGCTACCGACCCTCCTCCTCCTCCTCCTCATTCGTCACGCTCCTCTTCATCGCAAGGTAAGATTCCCTTACAACCCAAAACAATTTCAGTATAGTTTTGTGGCTTTAATCATATATCCAGAAGAGTTGGGGCTTTGATCATATAACAGAGTACTCATTATGATTTTGATTTTTGTTTTTTCTAAACCTTAAATTGATTTGTTAATTAGGGTATTTTAGGTATTTGGATTGCTCTAAATCAAGTTTGTAAGATTTGGTTTAGTAATATGTGTTTGTTTCCCTTTTTTTTTTTTCCACTTTTGAGTTTTTGATCCGATTGTGCTTCGATTGGCTCACCAAGTTCGCTCCTCTGTTTGCTCCTCTCCTCTCTCCCTCTCTCTCAAACCCTAGATTTACGCTCAGCCACCAGAAATCATTCTCCGAAAAATACCATTTCGATTTTGGGTTCAATTCCATTTTGGGTTTCGATTAGTTTGTAATTGTGTTTATGTATAGTTGATGTGTTTCAAATTATGTTGATTTGTTTGTACCCAATTGTGTTTGTTATTGCCAGAAAAAAGATAATTTTTATTGGGTTTTGAGTTTTAAGACTTAATAGGAGTAGTTTTGTTGGTGGGTTGGCTGAGACAATTCTCTTAATAAAATGTCAAGTGTGTGCAGATTAAGCTCAATTTCTTTGATCCTGCCTGCTGAATGCTCTGCTCAGAGTAATCAGTGCGGTTATTCATTTCAGTATACAGATGGAAGTGGGACGTCTGGTTTTTATGTATCTAATTTTCTGTATTTTGACACAATTATGGGGCCGTCTTTGGTCACTAACTCTTCCGCCCCAATTCTTTTCAGGTAAGCTGTTATGACTTCTGAAGGTTGTCTGTGTCAATGTGGGACATAAAATAACTATTAGATGGAGAGAGTAGATGGTCAAAAGAGTGAAATAAAAAGCCTTCGTGATAGACTAATATGTGGTTTCCATAATCAGCAGCCTTTTTTTTTATTATTATTTTAGTTTACAGAACAACCATAATCAAATGTGACATTGGTTATTTCAACATGATTTCACCAATCTTCTAATTGAAAAAAAATCAGTTAACTTAGGGTTCATTTGGGAATTGGCTTTTTTAGTGGCTTTTTGTCTAAAACTTCGTGGCCTTATGTTCTACGACAAAAAATCAGTGGTGTTCATTCTCTTAGTAGATTCTACATTGGTAAATGGAGAAGAGGAAGAGGAAGAGGAAGAGGATTATAAATGGGATGAGGACCAAAATTTCTAATGGTAACTGTAAAAAGAAGAATGAAGGTCAACTGAAGGAGGATTAGAGAAGTAATGATCTTAGCAGAATGTATCTTATATGTTATATCTGCAATGGCTTGGCAACATATCAGGATTGAGGAGTTGAGTGTACATTTCAAAACTTCTGTCCTCTTTTTTCTATTGTCATTGTTTTATCCCCATATCAATGTTCATCTTTAGTTTTGTTGGGTGGGTTTTGAACATTTGATTGGCTGTTTTGGAATTTGTGAACAGGTGTAGCACCAATCACTCTGGGGACTTAATTATGCCAGATAAAGCAATTGATGGGATTTTTGGGTTTGGTCGACAGGTTCTGTCTGTCATATCACAGTTGTCATCCTGAGGGATTACTCCCAAGGTTTTCTCCCACTGCTTGAAAGAAGATGGCAACAGTGGCGGATTATTAGTTCTTGATGAGAGAGAGCCAAAGCCACACCAAATTTGAACAACACAGGCCTGATATCTCTATTCTCTTTCACCATCCTAATTGAAAAGCTCTAATCTAGACACATAGATACAGATATATACACATATATGAAGATCATGGGTCCTCTTCTTCCATCTACACGCCTAAATTCAGAAAAAATCAAACGACCCATTTGAAAAAAATAATTTATAAGCAAAACCCAATTCAGATTTTGGCGATTTATGACTCACCATCGGAGATAAAGATCGTATATGCATCGAGAAATAAAGCAAATGAGTTTGGAGACGATTTGGTGTTGTTGTGGGTCTTTTTGCAAACTCAAGTTTTTGTGACTTTCATGAGTTTGAGATTTTGTCTTTCTTTTGAGAGTTTGAGACAGTTGCGTATGAAAACCCATAATTTAATTGAGTAAAGTCTTATGACGACTGGCCATTGATTTTTTGCCTTAAGTCATGTTGAATGTAATAAGCACATCTATATAATAAGGGAAGATGGTTTTTGAAAATCTATACAAATGTCTGAGAGATACATTTAATTTGGACGGCTGAGATGTCTAAAATGTTTAGATCAATGGTTTAGATCAATGGGTGGTTCCCGCCCAACACATTTCATTTGATTTGCCTATATCTATCCTCTGTCTCCTTCATACCCTCTGTCTACCATCTGTCTTCCCATACCCTCTACCTTCACTCTCTATCTCCCTCTCTGTCTCCCTCTCTGTCTACCGTCTGTCTCCCTATTCCTACTCTGCACTGACTCTCCCCTCAGTATCTACCTTCCCTCTCTATCTCCCTTTCTTGCTCTGTTTTTGGGTTTATCTTATTGTATTGGGTTTGGATTTTGAGTTATACGGGTGATATTGAGCCAACTGGTATATACGGGTGAGTTATACGGTTTGGATTTTGTATTGGGTGTGTGTAGATTTGGATTACACGAGTGATATGCAGATTATTATGGTGTTTTCTGGGCGTGTGCAGATTTGAATGATATATATATTTGCAACAGATTTGGATGATATAGATATATGGAAAAGAAATTCTGCACAGACTTTAACCAATTCTGCAAAGAAATTCAGACAAATGATATATATATTTAGTTATAGGGATTATATCAGACAAATCTATAGTATTTATATCGGACAAATTCTGCACAGACCAATATATGGAAAAGTATTTTTAACTGCTGGGTTCAATAGAGTTATTGAAAACATGACTTTAACCAATTCAGTATTATTATTTAGTGTTGAAAACATAACTTTAATTGCTGGGTTCAAGAGAATTGACTCGGGTAATTAAAAACATGACTTTAGTATTCTTTCATTAATTCGGGTAATTGTTCTTCTTCTTGAATTTTTTTTTCCTCTCTCAGCTTTTGCCTTCATCAGAGCTTCTGTGGATCACTCTGACCACTTTCACCGTTGTTCACTCCGGCTGTGACATCACTTCGGCTGCTCGGCTATTCACTTCGGCTACTCGACATCTTGCTCGGCTGCTCGGTTAGTTTATTACTTTGGTTCTTATTTTTTTCTGCTCGGCTGCTCAATGCTTTGGTAACGTTTGGTTGCTCGACATCACTCGTTTTCCTCTCTCAGCTTTTGTTATTTCTTTTGTTATTGCTTTGCTTTGATATTGAGCCAACTGATATATACGGGTTAATTTTTTTCTTTTCAATTGAGCCAATTGCTCTGTTTTGTTAAAGAAAATAGTTGCTTTGTTAACAAAGTGACTATACCATGGTTGCTATGGTTTAGACAATATCATGGCTGCTTTGTTAAAGAAAATA